TTTTTTTTTTTTTTTTTTGAAGTTGGGCGTGCGTTTGCGAGAGAAAGGAGAGAGAGCTGGTCATATTCGTACACAAATATATATACCAGGTAAGGTGAATTGGGAGGAAATTGAAGTGGAGTAGGAGTCTTCTTCTTTTGCTTGATCACGTTGTAATTGAGGTAGCTTTGGACTCTCTTTTTTTTTTTTTTCACATACGAAAAGTCCTGAACAATTGAACTCTTCATGGCCGAGAAGGAAAAAAAATATTTCTTAGGCTCTTAGGAAATTATGAGAATCCTTGGACTCAATATACAAGGAAAATAAATAGAAGATTATTTGATGGCCGAGACTCATGAATATATTGATAAGGAATTTTTCCTTTTCCTTTATTGCTTAAGACAATAATAATTAAAATTATGATTAAAAGTTTTATTATTATTTTTTCTAAGAAAATTAAACAGATGAGGACATCTAAATAAAATTTCCATTTATTCTTCAGTAATTAAAAAATTATCAAGTGAGGACACTCACTAGATCGATAAAAATAAATACCATTGAGCTCAACCGAAATTAAAATAAAACATCATAAATTATTAAATTAAATATAATAATTATCCATGAAAATAATACTAAGCATAGAAATGAACGACATGAGTTTGGGGCATTACAATCTACCCTCCTTAAAAATTTTCTGTCCTCGGAAAAAGCTCTTATTTCTAAAGTTGATCAAACATATATACGGCTTAGCCTTCTAACTACTTCCAAGACTTTCGTTCGAGCAAAACTCCTCCTCAGTTGGCTCCTCTTCAGTGGATTCCAGTCCAGTCTCCAGTGGAATTTCCATCTCTTCCCACAAGTTTTCTACTCTTAGAACTAGATCATAGAAGTTGACCACATCTTCCTTCTTCCTGTTTCTATCTCTCATACCTTCTATCAGGAGCTCTATATAGAGTCTATTGACATCAGCCTTCCATGCCATCGGCAATGCGGTGAGTAACTTTATGCAGCCATCCCAGTGGGATAGTGCAACCTTCTCGATCTTTCTGTCCCTTCCCATTTTCCTTACCTTTTCCCATAAATCCAATATTTCCTAGACGTTCGCTCCGACTGTTTTCTGAGAGTCATAGCCGTACCGCCGAAACTCTCGGATTTTCCGAGATGTGGGACAACCCGGTCCCAGCACGGTTTGCGTGGCTCGGATGATCACCATCTAATTAACATAACGACATTACATGCATGTTTACATAGAACATTTAAACAATGATCATAATCCAAAAAAAAAAAAAAATATATCATCCCAAAATCCAATAATCCAATCAATGCAAAAATGAAATAAAACAATATCCCATGCAAACAAAGTACTAGTCCAAAATCCAATCTAGAAATCAAAACAATTCTAATAGAAAAAGACAATTATTTCGGCTCCCTCTTCATTTCTTCCTCATAATGAGCCAAGGTGTAGACCCTCGTGGGTGCTCTTTCTCCAAGCTTCCATTGTCTTGCCGGAGGCAAGTTCTGCTGTAGTGGTGGTGGCGGTGGATCGATTCCCGGACAATTTACCCTCAAGTGTCCAAGCTTCTTGCAACGAAAACATATGTTCTGCCCCAATAGGCATTCACCCCGGTGCCTCTTGCCCTAATTGTTGCGTTCCTGCCTATCCACGGTGGGCACTTGCCGCAGCGGTTGGGGTTGAAGAGTTTGGCCACCATCTTCTTTTTTTTTTTTTTTTTT